CTGAAATTGAAGAAAATGTAATTGAATTATTACCTTTACATGTTATTCAAGAGTAACTTTGGTATTTTTTCAACCTAGACCACTTACTATTTTTGTCAAGGGAGTATGGTGGCTTTGACAAGAGCAATATAATGACTAAATAAAATGTTTCTGGTTTAAATAAAGAGGATCTTACGGTTTAAAATAATGTCTACGTTTGTATGGACCTTTTTTTCTAAAATGCTGACAGACACTTGTAATAACAATCTGAATCTGTCAGTGGCAAAAACAAGCACTTTAGTAGAGCTCCTCTGACAAGGCTCCATAGCCCGCAAGGATTACGTTGCAGTGCTATTTCGCTACTGCCGACTGCAGCACGCTCGCTTAATAATTTCAATGTTACCCAATTAGTCACATAGAGACAAAAACATAGGAAAATAGGGTCCAAGTCGAAAAAAAACGAAGTTACCCTTTAAGGCTAAAAATTGTTGCTCAAGTTTGACCACTATCATTCAATTTACGTCAATAGATCCGCTCTTTTAGTCCTGTCTGAGATGATTATAAAGCTGTGACTGACATGGTGGCTCAGTTACCTGCTGGTACTCTCTCCTCTGGGCCTCCAGGGCTTTGCCTCTCTCCTTCAGCAGCTCCTGCTCCTGATGCAGAGTCTCCGCCCTCCTCTTCAGCTCTTCCTCTTTGTCCCGGAGTTCGGCCTCAAACCGCTGGAGCTCTTCGTCCGTGTACACCGGCTTGGTGTCCAGGGTCTAGAGAGATGGCAGGAATTTACACTACTATTAAAATGTTATGGGTTTGTAAAAACTAATGTTGTTTCTGAAACTAATTCCTAAACCTTCTTGATTCTGATGTACGCAAACCCCATCAGTCGGTCCTGCTTTAGTTGCAATTCTCTATCTTTACTTATCATATGTACATATTATATCTACATATTTTACCAGAAAAGTTAGGCATAGGCATACAGTCCACTGTAGTGAGTTTTGCTAATGAAAAATCATAATCCCTACTTGAAGTGGTACAGCACAACCAAATCTATATTATGGTTCTTGCCAGTTGCCTGCTGCTTATTATAAAAAATGTGATATTTTCATCACATTAAAACTCACTCACTGAAGCTGAGGATAATTTCGACAATGACACATTTACACAAGCCTGTTAAGAATCCAGTCCTGATGTGCACACTCGCTTATTTAACTAAGCAAGTTAAAGGGGAAAGTATTTGATTTTACACATACTAGTACTTGATAATATAAAACCTTTTATTCCTTTATATTACTGTGAGTGATGAGGATAAGTCTGAAGACTGCAAGTTGAATCTTGGCGTGTGGAGTTAAAAAGAAGTAAGCTTACTACGCCTGAGTAGCCTGCTCCTCATCTCTGCTTGAGGCTACGTTAGCTGCTACTAGCATAACACACCGCCACTTTTTAATAAGGAAGAAGAATGTGTGGAACAACAAAGACCATATCTGCTTGTTCTGCTGCATCAATCTCGATCCTTCATGAGTCTGACTATGTTAAATTGGCGGAGTGCTCTTTTAACTAAACGTAACATTACGTCTATTCACAGCAGTCGCTTGTGGGAGCAGCTCCAAATGTGCAAGTTGATGAGAGAAAGTGTAGCATTAGCCATTAAACCTTTCCACCTACACCTTCCCGGCTTGTGCTGAGATTTGAACCACGGACTGTCCAATCACCTGCCCACTTCCCCAACCTTTAGGCCACCTCTGGGCTCTTTACCTCCCACTCTCTGGGATTATTGAACTCCCTCTTCTCTGTGGATTTGAGGAACTCCTCCAGGCTGACGAGACGATCTTTATTAGCGTCCACCTTTTAACACAGAGACGTAAACTGCATCAGTTGAAGCAGAACAGAGAGAAAAGTGGAGGCTGGGCAAACAATGAAAACAAGAGCGGAAAGATAAAAGTAAATAATTTAGACTCACATTCTTCATGACGTGCTCCCTCATCCTTAGCCTTTCTTCCTCCATCTCCATCATATCATCTTCCTCGTTCTTCGGGTCGTAGACCTTCTCCAGCTGGAGGAGGGAAATAACAGATGTTAGCTATTTTTACGAAACAGCTGTGTTTTCAAATAGATGATCATCCATTTTTGATTTTCTGTCATGGCATTTCAAGGGGTTTCATCAGGGTGTTCATTTTAAAACCTTGAGGTTTTGGCAAACTCAAAGTAAAATTGAAGAAGCCATGATGTACTGTAGGTTTCCTCACCTCTTTAGTGAAGAGAGCCTCCAATTCCTGCTCATCTAAAACGCCATCTTCATTTGTATCTAAACAGGGAAGAAAATAAAAATAATTTTGCTCATATCAAACTTATTAGCTTGACAAGAATATGGTTACAAGAACTCACCATGCAGTTTAAAAAATGTTTTTGGGTTGAACTCCTGGGGATCCAGTCCGTCCGTCTCCTCCCAAACTTCCCGTAGCTGAGCAACACTACCCTGAGTGTGGGGAAAACACAGCAGAAAGATGAAAAAAATGTAAGAGAGCTTGATTCACTTTCACTCAAAACCGCTAACATGAATGCATTTGTGCCTACCGGAGCATTGACTTTGGGGTGCTGGCGGTGTTTCTCCTTCAGGTCCTCCATTCTCTTCTCCTCTCTCTCCCTCTTCTCCTGGTCCAGGCTCTTCAAGTACTCCCGTCTCTCGTGCTCCTTCAGCATCTCGTAGCGTTTGAACTCCTCGTGTCTCTCGGCATCATAGTTCTCCAGGTCCTTGGTGGCCTAGACAAAAAGCCCGACAGGCGGCTGTCACCTTGGAATTCTTTGAAGCTTTTAATCAAACGTGGATTTAATACAAAACAAAAACTTCTTGCTGTCTGCAACAATCAGTCAGTCAGGTCTGCCGTACTGTTTTGACCTGTAATTGAAGCACCCTTGAGTCTGATCAGTGTAATGATTCTGCTGAAATGGGAGGGGGGTTCATCACTTCCCTGTGGTCAGCAGGATGGAAAGACTTTTACACTCTCAGGGGCCAACAAAAACACAGTTTCTAATTTATCGCTGAAGGATCTTACCGTCGAAATCAGCAGCTCAAGGTCTTTGGCCTCAAAGGTGTTTTGATTGTGGGGATCCAGATGTTCAAACTGCTTCAGCAGGGAGGCGTGGTCCATCTGAAGGGCTTCACAGAAGACAAATACACAATTACCAAATACATGCTGCACTTTTGACATGACTTCCATTATGTCCTGTACATACTCAACACAGCTCTGTATGGAGGCTACATTCCCTTATCACTACTAACTCTACTAATTTGCATTCATATGTATATTTATGCAAGGAATGGATAACATTTTACACGAGATGCTTTTGTATTATGCTGTTTCTATGCGCTGATAGTGAAAACTAACACATTGTATTTGTATATTTATACTTAGAGAGTATAATAAGTGATTACAATGAATAATTGCAAGAATATTCTGCACATGATACCTCAATTATCATATCTGTCAATTAAAATGTTTACAGCTTACAGTGAATATTTGCATGTTTATGTATTTGAGTTGCTGTTGTTGTTTTATTTTGCATTTGCAAACCTAAAAATGTGGTATGTGGTAGGTGTATCCATTTTAAACTGTAAACCTCTCCATGAAGATTCAATGCCTACATTGTTGAAATAATCAGTTATTAGGAATTGATAATTATAATAATAATATAATTATAATAATTTAAACTGTTGATTAGTTGATAAACCAAAAATGTACCAAGTTAATCTTTTCAAGTAATAAGTTTAGTTATTTTTCAAGTAAAAACACAAACATTACAGTTTCACAAATGCAAAAATACTGCTTTAGTCCATCTCATATAATATAATTTGAGTACAAAATTAAATTAATAATGTGATTCATTTGGAGCAAAAGGTTATGACTTAAATTTGATAATATAATAATAAAGCTACTTATAAAAATAAAAAGACAATATAACACTAAACATTGGTATTTGTTATTTGTATGCCTCTCTCTGCATGTCAACCATCCAATTTTCCTCTGGGGATCTTTAAATAGATCTTATACATACAGGTAAAAAGTACATGCTCTCTCCCTCTCTCTGAAAACACAACTCACTCTGTATGCTGGTGCTGTCCAGTTTGGCCTTGAGCAGCATCCTGAGGCGAGAAACTTCCTGACGCTTCAGCTCATCCAGGCGAGTCCTGACATGGTGACTGACCAGGTCCAGCTCTTTACTGAGACGACCATTCTGACGGAGAACACAAGACATCACAGGTGAGAAGAACAGATTAATTGTCAGATCTTCTTGATACCTGTGAAATGTAAACAAGGACACTTTGTGAGTGACAACGAAGGCAGGAAGAGTAAGAAATGGAAGCCGACCTTGATGTCCTCGGTGTTTGCTGTCTGCAGTTTCTCTCTGAAGTGAGGGTCTGTTTCCAAAACCTCAATCACCTCTCTGAGATACCTGTCGTAGTACAGGCCAGTGTCCTGCAAGAGGGTGTTGTAAAGAACAGGTTGTTCACAAACAAACTGAATCTCAACTAAAACTAATATTATGACGATACTATCGAGACCATTACCCCGTTCTCCTCTTGCACTTCCTGTTTTGCTTCCTGGTTGCCTACATTGCGATCAATAGGCACTGACCAGACCCCAACAGCGATGGACAAAAGCAGCAGCCAGCCAGGTTTCACGTTCATCTTCCTTCAAAATAGAAAACAATGAATATTACAATATTGAGTGCAAAACTGTGACAGAAAAGCTACAATCTTACCACAGAAAAGAATAAGAGACAGAGGCGAGTGAGAAATAAAAACTAGCCAAGACGATTATTTTGTAGTGCAGTGATACCCAACCAGTGGTACTTCTGCAGTTGTCAGGGGGTACATGAAAAGATTGCAAATAAACCCAACAAATTAGAAAAAATGTAATTTATTATTGTATTAAAAGAATATATCCACATATTAAGGCAGCTGTAACGCCAGCACACCACTGTACCTGTTGCAATTATGTAAGAGTGAGTGTAAACTACTTATTGAGCACATAAGTCTAAACAGGTAGCTAAATGCAGGCTAATGAATAATAAAAAATAAATGGTTCAAATTTATTGCAAACATTTAATCGATGAACTAGTCGATTAGTTGTCAACTATTTTGATAATCGGTTTGAGTAAAATTCTTAAATGTAAATATTTTGTGGTTTCTTTACACCTCTATAACAGTAAACTCCCAAATATCTTTGGGCTGTGGACAAAACAACATCCGAGGACGTCCTTGTGGGCTTTGGAAAACAAGGATCGACATCTTTCACCATTTTCTGACATTTTACAGACTGAACAACTGATCAGTTAAGCGAGAAAATAATTGACATTGACAATAATTGTTAGTTGCAGCCCTCCTAATGATTAGCCAAAACTAACGGTTAAATGGTTGGAACATCAGCTTGTATGGCAGTAGCCAAATCAACCTTTACACTGACACTTAAATTGCGTGAAAAACATATACATTTGGTACATGATAGGTGTGATTGTTGAAGGATCGTTCCCTTGACAGGGCTGTGGGGGTACCTCAAAGTTTGGAAACCACTGTTGTAATGTGTCAGTTCTCACCAGTACCTGGGTTGTATGCAGGTTCGCTGAACAAATATAAAACAATAGTTTCTTTGTCTTATTTAAGATTTTACATTGTCTTTTTAAACATTGAGTAATCTGGTTATTCATATACAGTATAAATTGTTATACCACTATTAAGATTTCTGGTCATTGCCTGCTGTCTGCAGTGGACAGGTGTGTCAGACAGTATAGTATTTCACCAAGTTTGGTTTATTGTTGCCTGAACACTGCTGCATTTAAGCTTTGTATGCTGGATTTGATCTGTAGATCTTTTCAGCGTAACAGAAGACAAGGGCAACAAGGGCAATGTATCCGCCACATGACCAGTATCAGACTTTCATTTAAGGTGCACACAGTGTTTATCATATTGCGTTTCAATTTGTCCCCAACTATAAAATGACTCAAGTACAAACCTATGGTATAAACCACACCTGGCTGACTGACAGTAACCTCGATCATAACTTACTTGTACTTGTAAGTTACTATTGAAAACATTCTGGTTGGTGGCTAGTGTCTACACTGTATGCCGAATTTACCAGGAGACTTTATAGATTTGTTAAAGTTTAAAATATTTCATTTTTAGACGTGTCTGTCTTCATAGAATAACGTTAAGAGGAAACAGAAATATCAGATTTCTTAAGTGAAGTTTGGCGGTAACTGTAAATTTTGAGCTGAAAAAACTATTTTTTTTAGCTGAATTATCAGGATAAATTGAGTTTAACACGACAGAAGTGTAAAGTAATGGAATATATCATTCGGATATATTAGTATTATGGTATTGTTCATGTCAGTAGCTAGTTAGCTAACGTTAACTAGCTTAAAATTGGACAACACGGATGCGTGACGTGGAAGAATCCAACGTGAAAAGGTTGTGATCACCTGTGAGAATAAATCAGGGGCATGACTGAACTGCTGATCTTATTTCAACATTTTCAACCTTAACAGTTCTAAAAACATAATTTTACAGGTGATATAATAACTTAACAGGGTCTGGTGTCCATTACCGTAGCGATAACGTTAGGCGTCTAGCACAGTTCTTCCTGCGTTGTTCAATAATATCTCCCGATTTTCTTTGAATTCTTCGTTAAAGATCCGCCGATATTAAAACCACAATTAAAATTTGTTATAACACAACATATCTTAAAAGATCTCCGGTCTTAACGTTACGGCACGTATGTTGTTAATATCTGGTCCAATGCTCAAAACACGACAAATATGTGTGTCGGGTAAAAATGACGTCATAAGATTCCAGCACCGGCCGACTGTGCTGCCTTCAGGTACTATCGGAAATAATATAACTTTTTGATAATGATAAAACTTATCGAATTGTTAGTGGCGATAGTGAAAGTAATGTCAACTCATAATGAAAAATTTGGCACTTCATGGAATAAAGCCACAAACACATTTGTTCTTGTCACTGTTCTTTCAGTGGGTAAGCGTAGAGCTCACAAGTACCAGCCTAGGAATAGTAAGTGAAGGCAGCATTACACCATTGACAAATAATAGATGGATCCAAATATGTACAAACGTTTTAAACGTTTAATTGCTTTGAAAAATAGATCTGTTGTATATTTAATTCAGTACACAAACACAAATTCATGGCAAATTTAAATAAATTAACAGCAAAGAGTCAACAATTGCACGTGATAATAAATAAAAGATATAAATAGTATGCATCAAAATAACATCTAGGACTACAATAAAATTAATTGAAATAATAAAAATATGGCACATGGAAAACACACAGTTGCAAAAATGTTCACAATAAATAAAGCAAAAAATAAATTAACAGTCACTCAATAAAATCATTTCAAAATATAAAAACTTGTCAGAGCATTTTGAGGTCATAATCAATTTGTATCAGTTTGACTGATGAACTTGTGGTTCAGAGGTTTTGATTGATTCAAACTTTCAATGCAACAGCTGATTTAGTGTTTAGAAATCAATCTCTCTCATGTCAGTAGGTGTCCCAGCCCTCTCGTTCTCCACCTCTTCATCTTTCTCCATGGGGCCCTGCTGAAGCCCACTCCTCAGCCGCTGTCGGAGGGCATATTCAATCATCTCACTGTAGCACTGCAGCACTGCCTAGGAAGCAAGACAAATAAATGGTTTTTGAATTAGAAGCAAGTATCTTCCTGCAGTTGGCATGACTATAAAATAAACAGATCCCTCAAAACACAAGTCTCTTTGATTAAAACTCTTTATTCTTGCAAGTCTCAAGCTCTGCAAAAAACAAATCAAAAACCCCAATCCTAAATCTGACAAAATCATATGAAAATAAAATAAAATGTAAAAATAAACAGGCCTATGTACAGCCTCAGACTTTGCAGGTGTACTCACCAGGTCAGTCTGGCAGAGCTCCGCCAGGGCTTCACTCATAACTGCCAGGTGAGTGGGGCCCTTGTTGCCCAGACCTCGCAGTGCACAGTTCAGTGATGCTGCAGCAACGAGTGATGGTGGTGCTCCCAGAAAACGGGAGTCACAGGCACACATGGCGGCTAGCGTGTCGCTGTGCCGCCGCAGGGTGGGGAGCAGACCCTCCTCTGAGTCACTACTGTCTCCATCTCCTGTCTCCTCCACGGAGGCAAGAAAATGTGGGAGAAAGTCCTGCGGAGTCACTGCTGCTGTATCCCATCGGAGGGTGGCGAGGATGACACGTTCCATTTCCTAATGGAGGGAATAGGTGCTTTTAGGAATCAGAAGTGATTGTGTAATGGTACAACTGAAAATAGATAAGGGATTTATTTATTGCTATATTTTGATAGATCTTATACATATGGTCTTCAACTGGTGACCACATCACTAATTAACCATACACTTTAAATTAAAATTGGATGAAAGTACCAATACTGATTTGAAGTATTGAGTCAAGATGAGTCAGTTGATGGCAACTATATTGATTAATCATCTTTTATCAAGCAAAAATAGTGAAAAAATGCTACAATTTCTCTTTCTAGCTTCTAGCTTCTAGTGCGGGAAGACATTTGAAGACATCGCTATGAGACCTGGGAAACTGTGATTGTGATTTCATAGACCAAACGTGTAATTGACTGATGGAAAAAATAACAGGCAGATTAAATGGTCCATATGCATAATTTTAGGCTCTGGTAACTTGTGAGGCGTCTTTCATTACTTTTTCTAATTTACAGAATAAATTTTAATTAATATGCGATAAATAAATCCGTAATTTAAAAAGAAAAAAATTAGATGTAGCCCAATTGGATTGGATTGTGTAGTTTTAAATGGGCTTGTATCCAGTTGATGGATGTGCTAAAGCCTCATAACCATTAAAAAAGACAAATCAAAATATTTTCACAATTCTTTAGAATAAAACCATTCTACATTTAAAATCAAGTTTTAACTGATTTTATGGTCTTATATGCAATGCCCTTGTGATTTGGCTTAAAGGCTATGATAATATGAGGGACTCGCAGCTGGAAAGGACTCTAGTAGGGTCCTTTCCAAAGAGGCTCCAGAGCAGAATTCTTAAAGGGTGTACAGAGACAGCTACAGCTACAACTCTGAGTATAAGATCTTAAACAAGCATGTTTTTAAACACATGCGTGTATGCTGGACTGACTCACCCGCAGGTTGGAAGGCTGAAAGCAGTATTCAGCTGCAGCACAGAGAGTATCGGCGGTGATGTTGTCACACTCCGTGAGTTTGGAGGCGATGAGGATGCAGCCGGCAGCCAGGCAGTATGGTGAGACAGGTAGAGACAAAGAGTCAGACAGGAACCTGTCCATCAGAGAGACAGACAGGGGGAACACTGCTTCATCACAGCCGCACTCACAACACACCTGAAGAGAAGAAAAAAAAAAAAGATGTGAGACATCAGCATCACAACTGCCACGATGACATAATTTATCTGGCACCACGAGGACAACTGACAAACTGGAGCATGAGAGAGTTTCATACCTCCAGGGCCCATTTGGCGAGCTCCTCCCTGCGCTCTGGATCCCGCTGGATGAGGGTGATGTAGAGCATGGAGGGCATGTACCTCTCCTCCACATGAAGCAGCCTCTGGATCACACGATGCCCGGACACTGTGGGGTCCCAGGCGGCCCGCAGCTGAGGCGAGCCCATGATGTGGCCCTGGCCTTGTGCCTCAGTCTGGCTCTGGTCCTGACCCTTGATGTCTTCCACCTCCTCACACCACAGAGACAGAGACATGCCTCTGTCCATCTGCACAGCCTGCTGGGTAAAATATGAACTTTTTTACGTCCAAATGGGAAAGAAGCGCAGCAGCTAGTGTCCCTCTGTCACCAGAGGAATCTTGATGTTATGCAGGTAACCGGATGTTGGGAAACCCCTGCAGAAATAGTTTTGACTTCATGTGATGCGCTGCTTAATTTCACTCTTCAACTATCGTCTCTGAGTTTTATACCCAGCAGGGAGAGGAAGAGAGGGAGTGGCAAAGAGGGAATGAAAAAAGCCATAGAAAAGGGGCGGGGAGCCTCGTGAGTGACATAAAAAAGTAAGAAGACAACAATATGGTCTGTCCAACAATTGCTTCAACAGGTGGGGAGAGGGAGAAAGAAGGAGAGCAGGGGAGAGAGGGAGGCAGGGGAGGAGGAAAGAGGAGCAGACAAGTGAGGGAGTGGCCCGCAGGGACGGAGCAACAGCTTGTCTTCGACAGTGAAAGAGAGAAGGGAGGAAAAGAAAAGGCTACGAGGGGTTAGAGGCAGAGAGGGGAGAGAAAAGGTCATATCCAGACTCTGACAATGGGAATGGATGACAAAAGGAGGCGGGTGCTTGTTTACAACGTGAGCAGGAAATATGTCAAAGTCTGGATGGATGTTGAATCCTGCTGCTGTTAGATAAATATCCTCAAAGTTGTGAGATTTATTAAATTAAATTAATATATTTTGTAACTTAATTTTGGTTAAGATTATTTTTTCTTTAAGAGATACTCACTGTTTAGACCTTTATTATTAGTCATTATTATTTCAGTATTTAGTTCCCTTTACATGTTCCTACAAAATTACATAAATTATGTCATAAAAAAAGGACATTTCCCCAATATGTATTTACCCAATCTTGAGAGTTCAAATTACTTATTGATTATCAATCAACAGAAAATTCATCTGGAACAATTCTGATGAAAATTGAAAAATGTTCCTCCTTTTCCTACTTCTCAATTGAGATTTTGTCAAATTTTCTTTGCCTTATATTATAGCAACTTGATTATCTTTGGGTTTTATATTTTTATTTCCTGACTTTTGTAGTACCAGTTGTTTATAAATCTTTTTAATTTTCTCTTACTCTGTTTATTGTTACGCACCAAAATACCAAAGCAAATTCCCTGTATGTGAAAACCCTCCTGGCAAAAAACCCGTGTCTGATTTAGATTCTGGACTGTTTTTCAGACAAAGCAATTTTTGGACGTCGCCTTGGAAATTATATCAAGCATTTTTACTGAGCTTTCATTAAAATAGCAAAATGTTCCAAAACTGTCTGAAAACACAAAGGTGTTAAAATTTAAATATATAAATAATAAACAACATATCAATTGATCAAGAAAATAATAGGCAGGTTAATTAACAATGAAATTAATCATTACATTACCTTACTCTATAGCTTGTTACCAACCAAATTTTCATAAGGGTATACAAACAGATTTAATTTGTTTCAAGGAAAGTTCGGGAACCACTATAAGAGTGGCTTTACATCCTGATAAGACTCAAATTTAGGTTGAAATAGTATATAACCTGACCTCTAATATTGTATGTATCTCGTATTTCCTACCACAGGATAAGGACAGATAAATAAATATACTCATACTCATTATAAACTTTATTTATACAGCACTTTTCAAAACAAAGTTACAAAGTGGTTTACATGATTGAACCAGGATTAAAACATTTCAGGTGGCAATTAGGTACAATCAAAACAATAATAATAATAAAACAGATACGACTAAAACGATAAAAATGTTTGGGATTTAAAAGATGTCACTGATTCTGCAGCCTCACGTCCAGGTAAAAGTGAGGTTTTTAGCATAATTTAATTTTATCTGTAAATGTGTTCATCAAGGTTTTGGCTCTGCCTCCTCTCTCCCTCTTTTCTCCGACGTTTCTCATTGTCAAAGCAACCTGTGTCCCGTTGGCCTCCCCTCCCTGCGCCTGTGGCAATCTGCTGCTTGTGTTTGAAGAGCAGCGAAGCCACCGAGGAGGGCTGGGCGAGGTATGTGCAACAGACAGTGGAGCTGGGCAGGTCAATGAGCCGTATTGTCTCCCTTTACAAATCAGTGTCAGACAACAGCCCCTGGCCTTCTGCCTGCTGCTGGCTCCTCTCACACATTCATGGGATAGACACACTTTTCACATACTCCTCGGGGACTCCTCTGATGGTCACAATGGGGTCGCACTCACCACTGGAGAATACAGATTGTATTTGACAGTCATTACAGGTGGCTTTTCACACATTAAGGTTTCAATGGCAGCTCGTGTTTCAAATAGGAGTTAAATGGACGGCCACACGGACACCACGACTTGATTTCAGCTGAGCATCAATAATTCATGCTCTACTCAGCGCAGAGCTGATGGTCATTTTCACTAACTATGACTGAAAGGAAATTCATGTTCAAATAGGCAGAACAAAAAATACTGTTTTTCAGGACATTATGTTCAAGCAGAACATGTTTATTAACTATTTAATAGAAAGATAATCATAATTTTGATTAAATTACTTTAACTCAAATAGACATCATTTGATAGGACTGATTATTTCATATTTTATCACTTATAGTAGTGGATTAGGAGGTATTTAAAACATATAAAAATACTCCAAAGAAGTCTTGCATTTAATATGTAACTTTAATAAAAGTACACAAGTATTATTCGCAAAATATACTTCAAAAGTATTAAAACTAAAAGTTCATTATGCAGGGAGTGCTATACCATTATATATTCCATGATTGTTATTATTAAAGCATAATAATGTTGAACTATTTTACATTCTGCTGGGTTGTTTAATCTATAACATCATGTTTTATAAGCATGCACATGAAAAAAGCACAATATTTATTTTAAATTGTGGTCAAGTAAAGTTTGGCAGAAAATGGACATATGTAAGTACAGGACAAGTACCTAAAATTTGTACTTAAGTACAATACTTGAATACTACTCTTTATGTACATAAATATATCAAAGTAACAGTGTCCTGTCAATAGGACTGAATTCCTGCTTTAACAATAAAACAATAAAGAGATAAGATAAAGTTTATTTAGCCACCTGACGATCAGTTCAGTTCAATTCAATCTTTATTGTCACCACATGAAACATTTGGCATGCAACAAGACTCGCCCATCAGTTAAACAGATTAATAAAAACAAACATAACATATTAAAAAAGAAATATTACTTAATAAAAGAGTAACACATAATAACAATGATGGAAAACTGCAAGTAAAAACAAATTAGTAAAGGTAAAGTGCAGGTAAAACCGGCAAATTAGAACAAGTGAAAAAGCAACAGGGACTTTTTGACAAAGGATAAAAATTAATTACATTAAAAGATTATATTGTACATACTAAAAATGAATACTTGAATTAATTGCACCTGGCCCTGGAGAGTCTCAACCTTCGCCCTGAAGGAGCAGTTTAAACTCTTTATTTAAGGGGAGGCAGGTATGAATGGCAATTATGTTTGCCTTCTTTTGCCTTCTTCCAGACTCTTCTATTAAAACTGTCAGACACTGAGGACTGCAGCTCACAGATCATTTTACTGGCTACCTATATGAACACAAGAGCACAATGTTTCTCCTTTAAAATGATCTTATAAAGTTTTAAGTCAGCCAGAAAAGGTAGATGAACTGTCTTCTCCAGATGAAAATAGTATGAAAATTTATACCTGTTAGGCGATAAATCTGACCACAATACAAAAAACACACCTCAAGAAATGTAAAGCGCCTATCAAATACTCCTGCTTTTGAAAAACCAACTCAAGGCTGAGATCTCCAGCACAGAGGGCAGAGCTTCAGTCACATCATCTACTGCAGATAACAGCTTTCCTAAGACACGCAGCATAATGACAACATGAAGAGACCATAATCCTCCAACACTTAGTTGATTGTAGCATTAGTGAAAGAATATGGGGTTTAAAGCTGTCGACAAGACCTTCGCCTATTAAACAGGCTTTGAGAGGGTCTGAAAGCAGATTGAGTTTGAATGAAGGGCCGAGTAAGTTTGGCTCTGCCAGTCAAGTGAGGTCAGGTTGGGGTGGATGGAGTGCAAGGAGAAACAGAGTGACAGATCGTCGGGCTGTTTAAGCACCCTGCTAAATTCATACATCGCAGCTGTATTCAAACAACATGGATGGAGGGGGAAAGAGACAGCGACAAGCCAAAAGAGGAGTGCAGCAGGTCCTGAGAAGGGGGTGTGGTTCCCCGCCCCTCATTTTCCAGCTCATTTCCCGGGACAGTGGAGAACAGAGGTCCTATTTTCCCCTCAGCCATTCACCGCACACAGACACCTGCTGGCCGGTGGGGGAGGAGAGGGGAAAGGCCAAAGTTTAACCAGTTCACATGACACTACATAAACAAATAGTTGTTACTGTTACACTGGAATGATTTCTCACTTTGATCCCTAAATTATTACTATTTTTTTAAAAGTATTATACAGACTAGCTAGAGAGAGTAGATTAAGTGTACTTTAATTGAAACTCAATTATTTGCTCAACCCTTCAGCCTGTTTTTATTTTTCATTTAACTTGTTTAACTCTGATTGTACACTGCACTCCAACTTTTATTATATTTTAATGTGTATTTTTTCAATTTCCCTATGTTGCTTTTAAACTTTTTTATATTTCCCTGTTGCTTTTATGTTTTATGCAAAGCAATTTGAATTACCTTGTTGTTGAAATGTGCTATACAAATAAACTTGCCTTGCCTTGCCATTTCCAGCTTCTCATACAACTGTGTAATATTATCATTCATTTTCTGTTTATATACCTGCCTTCTGTTATGGATGCTTCACAGGAGAAGTTAAATGTGGTTGACAAATCCATTAATAAACACTTAAATTTAATCTGCTTACAACTACATTATAGTGTGTCGCTTATGGGGGTTAATGGGAGTTAATTTAGGTGGTATCCTAAGTAAGTTTTAATTAGCTAAAGCGTCTAAATAGCCAGGCTCTTGAAGTGCTCGTTGACATGGTGCTGTATCTCAGGGTTTCTGGCTCTAGAAGGCATTCTCTGTTTGGGAGGGACCAATATACTGAACTTGTTATCCACAGATCTCAAAATGGATCATTACTGGGATCATTTTTAACAGATTTTAAAGAGGCATCCATCGTTAAGGATCTGGTACATGTCATTTTCTTGTATCGTTGTTTGTGTTTTTTATGTATTTTCTTTTTTCATTATATTTTCTCATGTTTTATGCTGCCTGTTGTCTTTCGTTTCTTGACCTTAGTGCTGTTTTGTGTGTATGTTCTTGTACAGCTATATTGCAAACTACCTTAGGCTATACACTCAGTCTGCAGTTTATTAGGTACACCTAGCTTAAACTAATGCAGTTTAATACAACAGCCCTACAATAAATACTTCCTTTGTGTGTCGAGGCTGCAGCTTGTGGTGCTGTTGAATTGTACTACTTTATACAGAGAGGTGTTTCTAATATTTTGTTCAATGAGGGTAAAATGGTGTTTTTAAATGTTATGTGGCACTGGTCTATGCAATGTCCTTGTAAAAGTCAGATCCTGGCTGTGGGCAGACCTTTTGAAAGAGACAGACAGTTAAGTAATAATAAATAAAAAATATAACGTTTATATATCCTGCTTTGTTAAGATTCAACCATTTATTTGGTAATAATCAGCGGATATGACATTATACAGATAATTACAAGGCTTAAGATACTACCGTGTCACTTGTGAAAACTATAAGGCATGCAAAAACTTTGCATAGGGCTGGAATGGCATCAAACAGTACTGACAAGGCGCTGCCAGTGAGTTTATCGTTATCTTCTTCCCTTTTTTAGGAACAGGGGCGAGGGGACGCTAGGGAAATCTAAACCAAACATAACGAAATGCACTGAGAGTAGACTATAACTCAAGTGACAAGCAGAGATGACTACAATTATTAAATAACTTGTGAAAAGAGGTAAAACAGCAGCATCAAAAGGAGGATGGAGAGTAGAAAGGATGGCAGTACTCTGCAGCAGAGACACAGGACATGTAAACAAGCGACAAGCCGTCGTGGAAAAGGAGGAAGACAACATACACAAATCAAAAAAACAGCACTGCAAGTTTGGCTATAGTGTTTCAACATCTTGACTTGTAACTTCCATGGGTACATTAAAAGAAAAAAGCCTCAACAACGCCCCCTACCTTTGACAAACAGAAACAACAGTCTTCACCAATCACTCTTCATACCTTCTCATTGGATCATATACAGTATATATATATATACTTATATATTTTTTTGTATATATAAATATCCTCCATTAATTTCGTAGTTACTGTCACTCCACCAGCTGACCTGCAGATTTAAGGATAGGTGGGACAGTGTGCTGTGTTACATGAAGCAGCTCCTGCCTGGGGTTGACTGATGAGGCGTTGTGTCTCGCTGGCCTGAGAGTCTGGGCTGTTCTCTTCAGAGCTGGAGGGGATGTAGAGACCCAGAACCTGCTGCACCCGGAGGGGAAGCTCCTGGGGAGGGCAGCGGAGGAAAGAAGAAAGTAATGAAGTGCTTCCATCACCTGAGAATCTGTATTCCATCCTTATTTGTGCTAATACAATTTCTGATAACAGTTTAGTTGTACTATGTGGAAAAAGTAGCAGATATTCCTGTCCCTGACTTTGTGTCTGAAATGCAGCTGATCCACTTATAGAACACTAGTGAGGTATATAACTAACGAGAGGTGTAAATCTTTAAAAAAAGATGCCAATGGATTTCAAAAATTACAACTGTCGGAGGATTTTTATATGATCAAAAACTTAAAAGCTGAAATCAACTCTGGGGTGGATTTTGATCTCTGCAGTAGCAAACTGATGGACAGAGCAAAACAAGATAAACAGCATATAATAAGAATTACAATAAATCAAAGACATAGAAATACGCATGATAGATTATTATTACTGTGGAGCACTAGTAAAAAAATATCAAAATAAAAATGTGAAATATCAATTACAGCACACCTTGTACAAAGTTTTCCAAATACATTGTACAATGTTTAACAAATGAGTAAATACGAAAACAAAAAGTAACGTTTGCATGCAAAAACTCAACTTTGCTCTCCATTATAACCACAACTGCAAGATCAAATCTGGACTGAGGTTCTCTGACTCAATGCTGGATCGAACTGGCCCAAGAAGCACCTCTCACCTTGGACTGAATGAACTGCAGGTAGATGGCCTCTGCTCCACTCAGAACACTCTGCAGGTCCAACTTCATCGTCAACTCGTTAATGTGCTGAAGAGAATTCAAAATGTGGAAAGAGGTTCACAGATGAAAGAGTGTGAAGTAATAGACAAAGTAGCTCAATTCCTCTCTCTCTCTCTCTCTAACACACACACACACACACCTTCAGAATAGTATTAAAGTCGTGGTCGGAGCCAATCAGCTCGCCTCTCTGGGACTCCAGGATTGAACAAGCAATCAGAAGGTGGAAGTTGTCACATGGAAGACGAGACCAGAGGACCTTGGGAGGAGAAAAGGATGTTACAAAGCAGTACATGTTGTAAAATAATTTTGATAGATAAGATATAACATTATAATAGAGTGTGTTTTCAATAGTATGTTATCCAAACTTATACAGACCTGTCGCAGCTAAGTTTGAAATATCACAATAACATGTACTTCTTTTTAAAAAAAAACAATACCTCAATAAATGCCAGTTTTAACATGAAGTGATGTTAATACCTCAATAGTGAGTCAACACCATCAAGGTATCAAGGAGTGAAGAGAGGCTGACTGTTGCACTTTAGCTGTTTAGGTATTACAGTATAAAAAGGTTAATGAATATCACTCACCTCCCACATGATGAGGATGTCCTCGAAGGAAAACTCTCTCTTGAACCAGATGAGCAGCCAGCGGAAACAGAAGCAAAGAGAGCCACTGTCCTGAGAGTCTGACGGATGAAAGAAACATGTTTTATTTCAATTTAGTGAACTTAACAGAAGAATGAGCTCCTTGTAAATGAGTAATATCAACAGTTACATCTTAAGCACATTTTATACACCCTGTGTCCTGGAAATTCATGAATTTCAGTTCATCACTTCCTTTATTTAGCATATATGCTCATGCTTATGCATAGCAAAATGGTGTGCACCCCATGTGCAGATAAATGTGTATACTTTCATACATAATATTGAATACATTCTAATGGATAACCCAGAGGTTGCATTATGTATTGAAAGCTTCTCATTTGCTTTATTCTTGTTTCTGCCCTACTTTTTGTTGCATTATTTTAATAACTTGTGTGCCCAGTTTTGCCTCGGGACTTGGTGTATTTAAATTGATGAGTATTAGCTGACGAACCCAGAAAGTCACACAGCTCCGGGTCCAGAGCCTTAAGCAGGATACTGAGCTGAAGGAGCTGCTGCTTCATGGCCTCCTGAGACTCTTCAAAGTTCTGGTGCTGTAGAGGGAAAGAGGTAAGACTTGTTAAGTCACTCAGTAACCTCAAGTCCATTGCTTTCCACATGGAAACTTGAACACTTCTTCAACTTTAAAAAAGAATTTGCTATTTAAATGACCTATTCAGTTTGAAATTTTAACAAAGACCAAACTGAAAGATATTAAAAACCACAATAAAACTGCTGTAAATGTAATCGTGTGAGCTTATTGTTTTAATTTAAATCAGAACTGCTGATGAAGCATTAAGTCACCACACAGGAATCATTTAACTCACAACACTAAGCAGCAACAATAAGGTTTGGATTTGAGCTTTGAGTGAAACTTGCTGTTTGTGTTGCTGTTGAGCTCGTCAGAACTGCATTCTGTTCCTATCCAGAGTAAATCATCTGAGCAGCCTCTGATGCTTCTAATCAATTAAAGTACAGGAACAACCAAAAATAATCTAGCTTTGACTCAAAATCTAAAGGTCACAGGTTTGTGACTGATTCTGAGGAAGAGAGACATTTCTACTGACCACCAGCTCCATGAAGCCTGTCAGACACCAGAAGGACTCCACCTCGTTCTGGGTGACGAACAGGAGGGGAGAAAGGAGATCACTCATCCCCTGGACATAACCTGTACAGATGGATGACAATGTCAGGGTGACAGAATGATCCTTAGCAACTCAGATCATCTAAAATATCCCTTTAATCTAAACTGTAATGTGTTAAAGTTAAGAGTTTCACTACAGGTAATGAAAAATGTCTCCTGATATAAATACATTTAAATTTACTTCTACTTATTGTGTGGTGATGGAGCAGTGGATAAGACACATCCACCACTGTGTCCCTGAGCAAGACACTTAACCCCTAGTTGCTCCAGAGGCGTGCGACGTCTGACATACAGCAATTTTAAGTTGCTTTGAATAAAAGAGTCAGCTAAATGAATGAATGTAATGTAAATGTGTTTGTAAAGCATTGTGGGTGGATAACCTGCTTATTGTCAAAAGATAAGATGAGAAAAAAAAGAGCTGTCATTGGGATTTTTTAAGATTATTAAGATTATTAAAAGGGAGTTCAGTGTTTTTTTAAGTGTGGCTGCACATACCAAGATCAAAGTTGTACATGCAGTATGTCATCAGCACATCATGAAGCAGAGTCAGTCCTGGATTGTCGTTCCCAGAGAAGAATGTATTTTGTCTGTCTGTCCTGTTGACGTCTCTCTCTGTCACAACAGAACAAAGACGGTTCAACTTCAGCATCTATTTCAGCTCACAGGCAGCTGACTGATACAATGAACAGATCTCCTGTTTGACAGATTGCAGCACTGACCTATCAGGCTTCTGTATCCTCTGAGGAGAGAGTTCCTCATCTCCTGCTCTTCGCTGACGGACTTCCACTGCACCTTCATTCTGAAGTACTCATCCCTGCAGACACAGAAAGAGGTTAAAGTGGCCCCAAACCTTAAAAGGACAGTCTGATTTTTTGGGAAATACTTTTATTTGCTTTAATGCTGGGAGTTAAATGAGAAGCTTGATACAACGCTCATATTTGTACATTAAATAAGCTACAACCAGCAGCCAGTTAGCTTAGCTTAGCACAAACACTGCAGACTGCATGGCTCCATCCACAAACACCTCAAAAGACTGCTGTTGAACGTGTTATAGCTTGTTTATTTATGGGAGGTTTGAGCGGGACTATTACTTCGCTTTCAACCTCATGCTGACAACAAGAACCAAGGAATGTAAGCTAAGCAGCGACTGGAAGCTTCTTATCTTCCATACAGACATGAGTGTATTGATCTTCTCATCTAACTCTGGGTAAAAAAACAAGAGAGAGAGCATTTACTAAAATGTTAAACTATTCCTTCAACCATCAAAAAGAAGTAGGAGGGCATTCGCAGAGATAAAAACACTGACGTTTTGACCCGCAGAATGTCCTCTCTTTCCTTGGCGGTGCTGTTCCACGGATAAAAGCCCAAGAGGAACTTCCATATCTCCTTCCTCAGGGATGGTGTGATGCCCTGCAATGGTCAAGAATGCTATGAAAACATGCGCATCTGGGTACATAATAAGGGGGCTTTCACACCCGAAAGTCTGCACCAAGGTCCGAACCAAAGTTCATGTTTTGACACATTTGGATACATTCGGTTAGTTTTGGTTTGGTTTCACACTGCAATTCTGCGACCACACTGAAGGACTTCACATGACAGACCTGCGTCCTGTCGTCATCATCTATGTGGGCTGCGTCTCCCTGTACTTGACATTGATTGGTTTATTAAACAGTTCAGCGGGTGTCTTTGACAAGAATGAATGAATAAAAAATGAACATCCATATTTGCCACTATATTATTATTATGGTATTACTACCAGCAGCACCAACTATATTCGCAATTAAACGTCCTCGTTGTGTGAACATTATAACGTCGATAGCAAGCAATCCTTCTGCACCTCCGTTTCAGGAGAAACCAAAGATGTATGTGGCAGTGTGCTTCTATAGAGGCTGTGTGTTTGAAAAGATGATCTCTCACGGGAGATTTATAATCATGTCCTTATTTCAATGCTTTTATCCGCGCATTTGTTTGTTTCCGGTTTGCACGTCGACCGCCGAACTTCCTGTAAATAGTCTGAAAGTCTGAACCATCCAAAAAATGCTTTCACACTAGAAATGAACGGAACCATGGTTCCGGACCGAGCCCACCTCTTTTGGTCGGACCAAATTTCATCTGTTTGGTCTGGACCATGGCCCGAGGTAGGTGTGTAAGCCCCCTAAGAAAGGTAAACAAGGTGTGTCTTCCAGATAGGACATACAGTGTTTATATTGTATTCACGGTCTTACCCCTCTGAACACCAGCTCTTTGATCCTCTCTGGGTTCTTCACCCGACCCTCTGGGTCCAGAAACTCCTCCCATTTGTCAAGAGGTTTACCTCTGGTTACGTCTGGTCTGGGACCAAGCTCTAACCCCTTAATGGAAAGATACATGCCTCTTAACATTATAACAAGCTGTCATCTCTATGCATTAGACACGCCTGTAGGCTCTGAATTGTTCTTTTTGTTTCCTTCTCTTACACAGTTGATGAGTTCGAATCCGGGCTCTTCATCGGACTGGGGTGGCAAGCTAGGATCCTGAGGATTACGCGAGTAGACCTGGGAATCTGGAGGTCGTAGTGCCGCCTTGAAGAAATTGGTGACTTTGGAGAATCCACCAAATGTAGTGGCATATGGGTCATGGATAAATCTCTGTTCAGGCAGAATAACAAACAAGAGCAGACTTTTTTATACTCTGAGTGAGAATGGCAACAATATTCTCGTCAATAAATCTCGTTTATCTGCTCTGACATTTCAGTCACGTGCTTCACGCTTCACATTATTGAGTGGCTAAAGATTTGAGTGTGAGTGGAGGTTAGAGGTGAGAACTTCAGAGGCTGTAAGTTTTTAATCCAAAACAGAGTACGGGGTGAAGTGTGACTTGAGGACTCGCCGGTATTAAACAGCAAGCTGATAATAAAGCTTTTATGATCTATGTGCTCTAATGCAGCTTCACATTACCAGGGTATATGTTTTCTCTCTTGTAATAACAAATAAAAACAAATTACCGAAACCAGATCCGAGCCTCCGTCATCAAGCAGATGCAGCTTATCGAAGGACTGAGAGAGAGCACCTGAGTCATGAGGGTAGGCAAGAAAGAGCCGCCCATCAACCGGTGACCTGATGATAACAACAGAAACCATGTGATGTTTATCTCCACTCATGTGATTTGTCAATAAAAACAGCTCTGTCTGAAACTCTGTCATGACATGAAGTCTAACACACTTACAGTAACAACAAGACAAACTGCTGATAGAATCAGGATCTGGTTAAAAAACCGTTGTAAATAATTATCATATATAGATTGTATCTATGTAGAAAGTTAATTGTATATCAATATCAATCGTATATAGTGTGTATACAGTGTATATAAATTTAAGCATCTACGTTGAATGTTACTGATTCTACATTACTGCATCTGTTCTTTTACATTCCTCTGCGCTGCTATGTCAACCTAAATTTCCTCTACGGGGGAATAATAAAGTTATACCTTATCTTATCCTAGGATGAGGACACTTACTGGTCCAGGATGATGTAACGACTCAGGGCCCTAAGCAGCTCCCTGGTTCCTCCTCGGTGGAAGTGCAGAGGAGGCAGTGGGTGTCCCCCTCTACTAGTCAGCACCAGGAAGTTTCTACCCAAGGAGAACCGAGCCCTCCGAAGAGAGTATAACTCTGAGAGTGGCAAAGAGAACGACCACTGACCTGCAGGCAAAACAAGAAGATATTTAGTTTCACACATTCCTGTCTTAACGTAACTGTTTGCCCAAAGTTACAGAAGTGTAAACTGCACCTGAATCTCTGACTGGGACATGTTCTCGATCTTTCTTCACTGTGCTGATTACTGCCCAGTCTGGCTCATAACCTGGGTCAAAATTTGTATCCTCCTCCCCTCCTTCTCCATCCTAATTGGTAAGAAGTGAGTTGATGGGAATTATATTTGAGATAGAAATAATTACTCATATTAAGATGAGATGATTACCAACCTTTTTGGTGTAGAGTACAGCAGGGGCACTGCGACCCTCATCCTCCAGTGGGCTCCACTCTAAAGCTGGCAACCCGGCCTGAAACAAATGCATGGTTTATAATCCCAGTGTTTCTATTTTGTTTATTTTTTTTTATTATTTGCTCATCTCAACATTATTGCATCACAAATTTGCTTACCCGCTCCACAATGCGGATGAACCCCGGGATGGTTGTGTCCTGGTTACTCCTCTTGGCATTTGTGTGGAGGTACACCCCCTCCTTCTCAAAGATCAGCTGAGGAGAAAGAAAATAAGAAATGCAAATGTTGGAAAAAAATTTACAAAATGAAATAAAGGGGTGGCTCACTTCAGGTTGTGCCAGATTCCAGTCATTGGAACATGCTTGGTAACTGTATGGTAATGGGTTATTGACATTTTCATCAGCTAGTAATAATTACTTTTGCAAGTCATATTTGGGGAGTGGATAACACACATGCTTTTGGTGTGAGAGACATGGGTTTAATTTCCATTGTGACATATCCACCAATGAGCAAGACACATGCAGCATTCCAGACCGGTCAGAACTGGGAAATTTCCAAGTTGAAATATCCGACTTCCAACCTCAAAGCTTTTCAGTTGCATGGTGGTGCATGACGCCAAATGATCATAAACATGGCTGACCGTGACAAACCTATGTTTCTTTGGCACGTTTATGCACAGTTAAAACCTCAGCAGTGCACTTGGTGTTAATTAAAAGGATGGCCATTTTATTGAAAACAAGTGATACATATATGTTGCTCGTTAACTGTGTAGCCTTCTGGCTACATCAGTTGGTAATCCTCAAAAGTCATGTTTTCACATTTCTGGGCATTTTTGACATTTTCCTGAGCAACGTTCGGGTAGAGAAGATGACTTTCAGAGATTGTTTACTGTAACTAGCTCCCTATAACACTGACAAAATATTTCTACATCAATTTACATGCAGAACTATTTGATACTAGTATGTATTATTTTAATTTAATACTTAACTTTGGCATTTAGTATATGGTTTACCGTTTACAATGTATGCTTCCATGGGAGCTGCCATTGTTGTGTGACGTCATTCAGCTGCTACTCGTTAAGTCGGGGTACATATTTTTTCTCCGAGTTCACAAGTAGGAAATCCGACTTCAAGTGGCGTTCCACTGTACTTTTCTATTTGGAGATTGAGAATTTCCCGTTTCCGAGTTGCCTGAAATGCAGCATTAACCTCTAGTTGCTCCAGAGGCATGCAACCTCTGACATATAAAGCAATTGTAAGTTGTGTTGGATAAAAGCCTCAGCTAAATTACTAATTATTATTATATTTTTATTATAATATATTTATATTCTAGGCTTCAATATAAAACCAACTATTTATGTTATAGTCTCTTTTATTCTTTTTATAATGCTATTATTATGCATTTTAATGCCTGTTTTATTGCTTCATTTATTTCTTTTAACCTATCCTTTTATTGCTTATTTATATGCACTTGTTTAAAAGCTGCTAAGTTCAATGGTTTGGTCTAAACTGCATTTCGTAATGTATTTCAGAAATCAGGGCAACTGAGTCAGTGAACTCTTTTAAATCCCTTCTTAAAATCTACTTTTATGAGAGAGCCTTTCCTGATTGTAGTTTGATTTTATTTATTTATTTTCCTTTTGAACTGTATTTTCATTTCTTAAGTTTCTTCCTTCTTTTACAGTGTATCTTTTTATATTTGTTTGATGTGTTTTATTGTCTTTGCTCTCGTGAAAGTCTTTGCGCTTTTAAAAGTGATCTATAAATAAAGATATTTATTATTATTTATATACAATGACAATCAAGTATCTATCTATTTTTCTTCCATTAAAGTAAACACATTAGTGAAAATGCCCTGTTTAATTTCCCACAGATGAGATCTTCAAAAACTATATATTTTGGGATTGATTCTGGTCAGACTGACTCTGGCTTGTGTTTGAATGATTGTTTTACTTTATCTAAAATTAAATTAGGTCACCTTAACATCACTGCATGAACTGTAACACAACTGGTTATAACAAAATAATACACCTAGGCCTAAAGTGCCTCATCAAATAAGTTAGCTAGTTAATGACAGAAGCGCATCACATGATCTCTGTCAGGTCAGTCGGTGAAGGCGAACCAGCCATACAGGGAAACTTGTTTAGACTTTGCTATGATGGTCTAGTATCGACTGAGTTTTCTGGCAAGTTTATAAGTAGTTGTGGTAGTAGATACACAGCACAGTCCGACATCTTATATCCAACCAGATGACAACATGTAGCTAACAGTGTAAC